CCTCGTAAATCAGAATCTCTAAGGTAGGACCATCTCTGAGGTGGGGAAATCTTAATTTTACACTAGGAACAAAAGGTGGAAAACTATATGTTACAATACTATGAAGGGAATAGTTTGCTCATACTAAAGTGCTGTATATAAAGGAAATCATATTAGTTCATTTAACATAAAATTAAAATTAAAAGTTCTAAGTAATATATTTAGCATTGCTCTTTATTTCAGTAATACTGCCCATAATGAGTTATGACATATCAGTGGGTATTTCATAATGTATAATTCAAAATCTAGCCCATATTGGACTTACATGAAGAATTATGATCTGCACCATTTAATAAACAGTAATAAGTAGTCCAACCACAACCAACAGATGCTGAGTGTGAATTTAAAAAACAAAAACAAGAACAAAACTCCAAGCCAAAGACCTGATTATGGAAAGACTGGAATGATACCTTAAATTAGTACTTTCTATTAGTTCAACCAATTCCTTAGAGATTCTTAGCTCTAGAGAATGGTTTTGTGAACATCTCTTTATCAGTCTTGGCCTTGCTAAAAGAAAAAAGAACTAACAGTTTTCAGTGCAGAAAGAGACCTAGTTTTGTTTTGTTTTTGATGTAATTAAATGACACAAAAGGAAAGCAAAACTAAATCAATTTAATTGTGTTTGACACACAACCTATTCTGGATTCAGATAAAATTTCCAGAATCTCAGCTTGCTTTGATTTTTTTTTATCTTCAAGATGAGTCCTGACTTCTGCTTCTGACTCAGAAGGATTCTAGAAGTACCAGAAAACCCACAAAAATTCCCTGGGTTTGAAAGGCAGCTGGAATATTGAGTTCCTCCCTCTATCAGTGGCTCAGCTTCTTAGAATTGTTTTTCATCACTTGCCCTGAGCTGGGAGTTTGCTCTGTTCAGGCCGAGGTTTCAGTCTTTCTGTTTTTGGAAAGTGATCATGCTTCTCAGGCAAGGGATCAATTACTCTAAAAAGGCCAGGTTGCTGACCCTTTGTCCTAGGACAGTGTGGAAAGGAGGGATAAGGACAGCTGTGAGCTGTGCCCTCCTAGGTCAGCCCAACTGTGGCAGGTCTGAAGTGGGGTAGTCTCAGGGATAGGGTTGCCAACTGCTCCACTTTCAGTGTAATAGGCCTATTGAAGCCTCAGCTATGCTACCAGGACCTTACTCAGGATACCAACTATTCTGTTTAGAGAATACGTTCGGTTTACAAATATTTCTCCAGAAGAGTTCTCTTCATATTGCTAAGTCCATTACGTAATATTGGTACTTTGAACTGAACATAGTATCTTTATAGCAGAGGCTCAAAGCTGACGTTAAGTTTATTTTATAAAAATATTGAACCAGTCTTTCTGAATCTGGTCTCATCTTTGTCTCCCACGAAAACAATGTTAGCACAATGGATGAACACAAAGCAAGAAAAAATGGACAAACAGGCTGAATACAGAGGAATGTAACATACAAGCTTCAGTAAGAAAGAAAAAGAGAAGAAACAAAGCTCTCTCAATTAATGACTCCTGGGAATGGATCCCTTGTGTCTATGTGACATTTATAGCGACACTCCTTCTACTTTTTCTATTTTAGTTGTGGTAGGTCTCAAACTGGGATTCATATTAACAGAGAACACAAAATAACTTGTTGAATTGCATTTTCCTCATTGGAAGTTTCTGAAATACTAGTTATTGTGTATTGAGTGCCCCTTAGAAGAAGAATAGCTAGCATGTGTGGAATACTTTCTCTGTGCCAGGCACTGTTTTATACACATAATGCATACTGTTTCACTTAATCTTCATAGCAACTTGTGAAATACACCTATTATTGTCTCCATTTCACAGCTGAGGTACTGAACCACAGGGCGACTGAATCCTTTGTCAAAAGTCCCCCAACAAGCAGGAGGCAGGCCTGGAACTCAGAGGGAGTTTGGCCCTAGAATCCACACTCTTGACCACTACAAATGTACTTCTTGTGGGCTCAAGGTTTACACACCTTATGTCATCTAATCGTATGTGAAGTTCATTTTTAAAAAGTGTTTACTTTTGCTTTTCCTAAATTTAAAATAAGCATGTCTTCTTTTTAATTTAAAAATTGGAAGGAACTTTACGTTCTGCATTATTGTTACCAAAATTTGAAGGTTTCTCTCATCACTATTCTGTTCTTCTTTGTTTGCCAGGTATAAATTAGCATAACTCTGGTAATATACAGTGCTAGCTGTCTGGAAGCGGTGGGTGTTTGAGATATTTGGTCTAGAGCATTGTGGGAGTTTGTTCAATGGAAACCAGCAAAATGTTGAGCTTCCCTTTGCCATTACTGAGTTTTAATAAGCAAATAGGCTGATAGAGATGAAAACTACAGCTTTTCCCCATGTACCCTGTTTAAAAATGTCTACTGTTTGGAGCTACCAAACTCTAAGATGTTTCAATACTTCTTACTTTGATTTAGAAGGTTTAGTGTAACTTTGGAGTTATCTCTGAAACATGTAAAACTCATTAGTTCTGAGGAGCAGTTCCTTTTATCTGTGACCTGAATCTTCTTGCAATCAAGGGAATGGGTACAGTCTTGTGGTTAGAGGACAGTCATGGAGTGTGACTGCTGGATCCTGAGACTTAGCTCTGCCATGTTACACAAGTTTCTTAACTTTTCTTTATCTCAATTTCCTCATCTTAAAGTGGGATGATAATATTACCTACATCATACTTTCCTCATTTTGTGGTGACAAAAAGAAGTTAAGACTTATGCTTAGAGTGGTACCTAGTATATGGTAAGTCCCTATCATTGTTGCCTTATTAGGGCTCTATGATTTTAAATTAAAGCAATAAAGTTCTGCAAATGTAAGGAGTTTTTACAATTATCCTAGAAGCTCACATCTTCTTTTTTTGATGTTGGTGATGGGATTGTTCAAAACCTATGTTTAGAATCTATCACGCTAGTTCCTCAGGAGATGTTTTCAAAATAACAATGATATATAAAAGGAAAAAAAAGCCACTGGAAAAAATGTAAGGTTTAAAAATGTGCTTGCTGGGAAGTCTTTGATGGAAACAACTGTTGAGAAATCTTCCACCAAGGAATCTTTGAGGTGGGAAAGGTTTGCTGCCTCATGCCCTTGACTGCTATCCTGACTGAGATTGGCACCATAACACTCTAAGATTCCAGGAGTAACTACTTTTTAAAGTGTAGTTTGAAATACTGAAAACTTGTGACTCCCTCAGCATTATTCTGTTTAGAATTATTCTTGTTGAAATACCTCAAGTAATTGTTGGTTTAGTAGCAAGCCATGCTGGGTGCTGATGCTGATTCACTACTTAATAAGACAGTTCTCTGAATTTTACATTTAGTTGAAATGGCATAAAGCCAAAGGGAGCACTTCCTTTTATGCAGAGACTTTGATTATGCTCTATTTTTAAAAATCACATTCTTCCCCATTCCCAGCCCACGCACAATACCTATGAATTCCAAAATGAGAAAATGAAAGGATTTTGAGAAGTCATATAACATTGCTGTCAATTTCATCTTTTTTACTAATAGAACAGATGCTTCTTTCTCAAAGATGGGTTTTCACTTTCAACATGTGTTATAGCATTTAATTTTCTGAGCAATCTTGGGAAATGGAATCTTTCCTAATATCACTGAATGTGGTCAAAACCATCTATGAAGCATGGACAATGAGGCTCTTGGTGGATCAGTTTGGGAAATTGATAATTAAGCAGTCTCAGTGAGGGAAATTTCGGGGTCAGATGAGACTGTGGAAACCATGCAGTAGTGTAGGGAGAGCACAGGTTTGGATGCCAGACGAATATCTAAGTCTAACCCTAATCCGCTGCTTATAAGCTTAGTGATTGTTGCACAAGTTGTTTAGCTGCTCAGATTCAGATACCTCACCTGTAAAATGAGAATAATACCTTCCTTTTCAGTGTAATTTGGAAGAATATATGAAATTACTGTATAATTGGTTAAGAAGCCAGGCTGCAGACTGAATCCAGAGGCCATTACTTAAAATTGTATGATCTTTGGCAAGTTACTCGGCCTCTTTGCACTTCAGAATCACATCTGTAACCTATAAAATGGATGCGTGATCATTAGCTCACAAGGACTGCTGATTAAAAGCAGTAATCTATGAAAGATACTCAGCACAATTCAGGGCCCAAAGTTTGTGTTCAGCTAATGTTAGCTATTATCAAAACTTAAGTAAAATGTTTTCTATGTATAGTAGAAACTTAATATGTTGTCTCCTGCCTTTTCTCAGGGCCCAAGGCGTTATTTGAATGACTGCCACAGCTTCTGTCCCCACCCATGTCATCCTCACTTGAACCAAAATGCTTGATTCTGGGTTGTTGTGTGGTCTTGGAAACAGATTATTGCAACAAATAAAAGTATCAACGATTCCCTGACTTCTACCATGTATCCTGAAGAAAAGACAAATCAAAACCTATGGCTTTTGTTATTTACTTCCAAGAAGAAGATGTTTCTGTTTATTCTTAGAATGTGCTTTTTTTTTTCAACTCAAGGACAAGTGCAATCTTTTGATTTTTAAAATTTTTCATGAACAAACCATCACTAGTTATTAAGGAGCCCAAGAAGTAGGAGCTGTGAAAGCAGGATTTCTTCATGTTACCTTTGAATGTTGTTATTTTAAGTATGAACATTATCAGGTAGAGAAGGAAAGACAGGCTAGGAAGTAGGTCCTTGTGATGATATCTTGACTAGAGATCCCGGATTTACACAGATTTACATTTCACCAGTCACAGAGCACACATAATTTAAATAAACATGTCAAGAATGACAAAAACAGAGGTAAACATGAGGAGCTTTACATTTGGAACCAAAAAATACAAATTAGAAAAATTATTACCTATATCAATAACAAAAAAATACTTAAACTCCAGGACTCTTTAGAAGTCTAGCTTTCTCTCCTGTACACTTGGGATGCACTTTATTGGCTGACAAACTGATAAAATCAGACGTCTGAGAAATGTCTGACAGGATTTGATATTTTAAATTAAATTTCTCTTTATTCAATTGCCTCTGAATAGTGCTGTGATTTCCAAATGCCAGGTAGTTTGGTGTACAAATATACATACCACAGAAACATACAGTTTAAAAAAAGTAAGAAACTGGCTGTACCTGATAACATCAAGAAAAAAGGTAATTCTGATTCGAGGGCTTCTCCAGAAGAGAGGGTTTCACTGGCATGACGCTCATAGGATGACCTGTCATTTTTGTTTTAGAACCACAGAGGGATGACAGTGACTGACTTCTTAGAGCAATTTTGCCTGGTGTCTGGATCCTGTGGGAATTTATTAGCCTGCTTTGTGGCCCTTGGCCAACCCTGGTGGGACATCTAGAGAAGAACTCAATTCTGCTTTTCCCAGAATAATTGTTGACTAACTCGGCAGTACTGAAGTGTCATAGGCATCTCTGTGTCCCCCAGAGTCCAGTGATATGTGGACCCAAGGCCAGCGAGGGTCATGTTTCTGGGAATAAAATGTTGGTTCTTAGAATTTATATATTTTTTCTCATGAACTTATAAAAATGTTTAAAAACAAATTCAACAACCCTGATTTTAAGAGGGAATGAACATACGCCCTACCACTTCCCTCTAGAAGTATTTTAAGCATTTAGCTTTTCAAAAAACAATCATTTCTTTTTGATGACCATAACTTCAAATACCCTGCCTACTGGACCAGTGGTGACTCATAAATAGCAACTGATTTCAATAACTCACCCTTAGAATGTGGGTACTTGCATAAGCCCTAGTTTATAACTGGATGAAGTGATATGCAGCAAAGGGGGGCATTTATTTGGGAGATTAAATCTAAACGCAGACACTAACAGCCATGTGTCTTCTACTTTTAAGAGGGTTTACTGTGAAAGAGCCAAACAGAATGTTCGACATGCTTCTCAGTAGCACTATGACCTTCAAAGCACTTTAATCTCGTAACTGCAAATGGGAAAATGGTCCCACATATGTTAGTCCACCCCCTTTCAATGTCTATCATGTGTTTTTGACATCTCAGATGTGACTCTTGCTGCCAGGCTAGAATTTAGGCTGTGTGATCATTTTCAGCTGTCCTACAATGCCTGCTTCTTGCAAGAAGTTGGCACTTTCTAGAATAGCTAAATAACCCTGGCTTATTTTAAAGAATTATTTGTCACTCAGATTGGTTTTCCTATGGTTAAAATAAGTGCTTCTTGTGAAAATTAAATAAAACAGTTCATGCAAAGCCTTTATATGTGTTATCACTAACAATCATACTAGATATATTTTGAAGTACAAAGTTTGACATGCTCTAGAATGAAAACCCAAATGTGTCTTACAAAACATGTTCCTAACAAGGTATGCTTTACACTGTCAATGCAGAAACTATGTTTTTTTTTTCCTCTCTAAAAAACAGGATGTGTCAACCTGATAAATGTTCTGAGATTAAAGTTACAATGCTCAGATTGCCAGTCTTACCAGTTCTGGGACTCACTGTGGCCTCCTAGAAGACTGAGGGGAAGATGCTGTACTTACATGTCCACTGAACCTTCCTTGCTCCTAGAATCTCAAGGGTTATGAAGATTCACTACAGTACAACATTCCGGTCAGGATGAGAGGCTTGACACATTATTAAGGGGAAACTCATGGAAAAAGAAATGTTTAAGGTCCTGCAGAAAGTCAGAAACTGTGATGATCGTTTTTGTTTATATTCTAGTGCCCGCATTTAAACCATGCAGTGGATTTGGGATGATATACATAAGGCACTTAACATAACATAGGAACACAGGAAATGATTGTCACTCTTGAGCTCGCAGTGAAAACCAGCTTCACGGATGTGCGTGCCTAGAAATTAAACTAAGGACAAAGGAAGAGGCAAAATCCTAAAAACTAAACAAAAACTGCGTCCCTTACACCTCATAACCAGCGGATCAACCCATCAAACTACTGCCAACACAGCTAAGCCAACAACACTCAGATTGAAAGTGTGCCCATGGTAGGGAAACTGGTGTCTGCAGGTCGAACTCTCCCTTCTGTCACACTGAGATCACCCAACCCGAAAGGTGGCACATTCAGCCCCCTACTGGAGAGACAGGGAAACGAAATTCCTCTTACTCTAGGGAGCTGGTTAGTCCTCCCACCCACTTCCCATCTCCCTCAGAGTGAGGTCAGACTTTGCTGTGGATATTGTTTTGGGGAATTTCCACCATCTCCTATAAAGTGGGACTCTATGGTCCAAGATGAGACCTATGCTGCCAGTGCCCAGCTGAAGTCATAGATGCTTTTACTGCATGCCTGACATGCCTCTCACAAGGTTTTGGGAAACTCTAAATAGTCCTGGGATGACCAGAAGATATAGTCATGTTATTTGGGTCTTTAGTTATCAACTCCAAATAGTGGCTCTGCTAAGATTGCCACCTGTCCAACAGGAAGTGGAAAGAAAACACTTCTCATTCCTGCATGCCACAAACCACTAGACAACTGGAAATATTTCTGGGTCATTACCATCCTAGGATACTTTTGAGCCGATGATCTCAAACTGACTACCTGTGTGTTCCACGCCTTTCCTCTAATTCATGCCATTCTTTAAATGCTATGTTAAGAATGCAAAGCTATAAAAATGATCTTTTTTCCTGTTGCACCGTAAGAAGCCTTTTTTGGTTGTTCTACTAGAAAAGAATTCAAAATGCAAGCATTCAACAGATTTCCTTTGCAGGGAACAAGTCATACAAACAACTGTGTTATATAATGAATAGATCGCTTTTTTCCTTTATCCTGTATTAATCTCAATTGATTTCCCAAAAAGGCAAATAAGAGACCAAGCTACATCCCGTGGTTGTAACCTCTAGGTAAATTTCCGCCAAAAGCAATGAAAGTGTTTTCCAGAGAAAAAGCAGAAGAATAAGCCCCATTGTTCTGCAGCTGACTTAATTCTCCTTTTTATGTCTTAGAAATACTAAGGCTTACAGTTTTACAATGTATGGAGAGACAGATATGCCACCAATGAAATTGTTGGGGAAGCCATATAGAGAAATATCAGAGGAGTTACTTAGATCAGAATAGGTCACAAAATAAAGATATTTTAAGATATGGACATTGAACAGATAAAGAAGATGGTAATATTTTAATAGGATAGTGAAAAATACAGCAGATTGACAGTGACAGCAGAAAAAGAACAGGAATACAGATATTTTCGGAGGATTAAAATGGTGCTGTGTACCCTCAAGCCAGGCAAGTTTATCTGAGAGGTCTCTAAACATATCTCTTGCATGGAGTAGAGGATTTTCCTTGGAGCTGTCATAAATACTTTATAGTTCTCTACATTAATTCATGTCGAATATTTTCCATGGTTGGTCAGACTCAGACTTAAAATAGATCTAAGAAAGGTCTTCAGGTTTACTTTCAGTACCATTATTCACTTCATAGCCAGCTAAGTGACGACATGGTGTGTGGCCAATTCAAGTTTATACAAGGTAACCTTGCCTGAATTATCCTGGTCCATCAAATACAAATAACAAAGTGAAGGTGAGAGAATAGAATTGCAAGGAACGTGGGAGGAGCAGTTGTCAAAAAACAAAACAAACACAAGAAAAAGAATCTGTGGGGTCACTCAGAAATGATGCTAAAAGTTGTGTGTTCTCACCCTACAGTCTCCACACACATGGGGTTCCTCGTGCTTCACAATCAGCCCCTGCAATCAGTAACCCTTTAGGTCCCAGTCACGTGGTTTCTCCAGACAAAACAATAAACATGCATACCTTTATGTGCATCCTGCTTTTTACATATTACTTCATTATCCTGTATACTCTACCACTTGCCTCAGCTGAGGAAAACAAACTTATGCTTTCATGGGCAACTGGAGATGTACTCACTTAGTTCCTTAAGTAACTGGTGAGGGAGGGTGGGAATCAATCTTTAAAGATAATTATCCTTCTTTCTTTATCCAATTTGCTTCATTATTATTATTATTATTATTATTATTATTATTATTATTGAGACAGGGTCTTACTATGTTGCCCAGGCTGGTCTCCAACTCCTGGCCTCAAGCCGATCGCGCACCTCGGCCTCCCAAAGTGCTGGGATTCCAGGTATGAACCATCATGCCTAACCCCATTTACTTTAAATAAGTCTTCTGAAATGTTAATATATGTAAAAACATCTGACAAAGAACCTAACACATTGTAAGTGCTCAGTAATCGCTAAGACCCTCTTACCCATTTCTTACTAAACTATATACATTCCAACAATCCTCCCAAGTACCTCCTCTGTGATACCAAACAGGTGGCTGAGATTGACAGACCAGAGCTGCTCCCTGTCCTCAGTAGATTTCTTATTCCTTTAATACCAGTAATAGAGAAAGGCACTACCTAAAAGGGAAATTTCAGTCAATATAGGTTATATCTTCACTACATTTGAACCTGTCACCATAGGAGCACAGCTGTTGTGTTACATAAAGGCTGATTGCTAATGTTTGATAACACTGATCACTGTCTTTCTTGTGGCCACTGCATACATCCTAAGTATCCTGCTTACTTAATAAAATGGTACCTGTCTATTTTGAAGTGCTCCTGGATTTTTTTAAGTGTGCAAAGAAGATAAATACATGTTAGGTCAATCTGAGTTGGATTTTTGACTCCTTAAAAATATTTTACTCCTTGGACCCAGATTGGGAGGTGACATATCTGTAATTAAGTAAGTTGAGGACTTTGCTAGGCATTCTCAGGGACTCAAGTAACACTGCAAACAAAGCATTTTAAGCAAAGTGGACACTCAGCTTCAGCTACAAGATTACTCTTCTGCAACAGATGGTTTCCACACCTGAATTGTGACCCCACTTTTCTTGGCTGAGAACTTTGGCCTTGGTGCCACAAAATAAGATGAAGAGGCTGATTCTTGCTTTGGCGAGGTGGGAATGGCCACAGGCACCGGGGACGCGCTGACTGGTGAGGAGGCCTCTACAAAGAAGGATGGGGGAGAGGTGTAGGCTGGGACCGAGTATACTGAGGAAGCCTGCACATTTGTAGGTGAGGCAGCATTCACTGGCCGAGGAGGAAGAGCTTGCTTCATGGCCAGGGCTGAATTGACCTTGACTGATGACTTTTGGGGGAGGCCATCCTTCGCATCTGGAGGCTGGAAAGTAAACAAGGATGCGTTGAGCTGATATGGTTGGTGCTTCATGACATCTAATGCATTGAGTGGTTTCTTCCCCTTTTTCTTGCCCACTTTGGAGGCCTGTGCAGCTGACGGCTGAGACTTGAGAGCAGCTAGTGGGTAGGAGGGGGAGTGGATGGGATTATAAGCCACAGGAGGAGGTGCTCGGACATTGGAGGAGTACTTCCAACTGGCTGGGAGAGATGGGGTGGGAGACTGAGCTCGAGCAGCGTGGGCCTGCACTGTGTCTGAATCGACCACATACTTCTCCATTCTCGACTGCCTTTTAGCAAAGAGCTGAGCTCCTCTCCCACTCATTCCTGGAAGCTCATTGGATGGTCCCACTGCGCCAGGCTGAGCAGCATTGACTGTTGGCGTGGGAACTGCTGGTTTGGGCGTGTAATTCTGACTGGTTACTGCTGCTTGGGGTCCTTTGAAGGGACCAGCCACGTTTAAAGCACTTGCAGGCCGGGCAGGAGGGTAAGAAGGCTGGGCTATTTTGATGGAGGAGACAACGGTGCCCTTTGATGGGCTGGATGTGGGGAAGGTCGGAGGTTGGGTGGGAGCCACTCCTGGAGACCAGACTGGGGAGACTGGAGTTACTGGTTGGGAGGATGAGGACTTGACTGCAGGTTTTGGAGCAACAGGAGGTGGGGTCTTTTGTTTGGCAGAGGTGCTTTGCATGAAATTGCAAGCCTCTGCTCCCAAGCTGAGGTAGTCTTCTTCCGGTCCGGAATCACCTCCAGCTCCAGTGCCCCGTTTGCCTTCTGAATTTTGAAGGAGTGACAAGAGTTCAGGATTTGGACTTACTTTGGGCTCTTTAAAAGTAAACATGGGTTTTGTCGTGCTTCTCCTTTTGGCTTCCTGCAATATTCCTGTTCTTTTTGCTGGCACTGAGATCCTCTCATCTCGGGAAGCTATTCGCTCAGATGAATCGTAAAAGGCTGGCTGGGACCATGGGGCAGGCTGGGGCCACGGAGGCGGCTGTGCTGGGCCAGCAATCGGACTTGCGACGCCTCTGGAGAAGGCATCAGGGGGAGGAGTGACCGCAGAGTAAGGTGGAGGTGCAGGAAAGTCAGCAATGGGACTCGTCATGTTTCGGGTTGGCGAGAAGGGGTTGGCTGGCTGGTTCACAGACCCTGGGAAGGGTTTGGCTGTTCTATTCATGGGGACCATCCTCTGGATGTTTGCTGTCTCAGATGCCCCACTGAAGCCATTCTGTTGGGGCACATGGCCAAGACCATGACTCACCTCGATGTAGCTTTTGCTCACAGAGCTCTGCGTTCTGACCGACTCTTCCTCCTTTCTTTGGTATGAAGTCATGGTTCTCAGGCCATGTGTCCGGGCAGCATCTTGTTCTCTGCTTGGCATTCCACCCGCCTTGTCGTCTTCTTTCTGGGCTGTGATCTGATCCATTCTCTCCCTCTGCTTGGCGAACATGAGGGCTCCCTTGCCTGTGGTGTCTGGTAACATCTCCATCTTGTCCCCTCTGTTCAGTTTCTTTTCAATGTCCACCAGTCCGGAGTCCCAGTCAAAGTTCACAACCTGTGTGCTGTCGTCAATGTCAGACAGTAGCTCTTCATCCACCTCTGACTCGCTTGCACCAAGAAATGCGGCTTCACTTGTATTCTCCTTGTCACCGTCTTCCTCCTCGTCCGCCTCTCGCTCAAGCTCGCCAGTACCGTAGCTAACTAGGGTGTATTTCCTGGCCCTCCGACGCCTCTTCTTAAACATCAACACCCCCTTGGAGTTGGGGTTGGGAGCATCTGTTAGAAGCAGGGCAATGCTTTTGCATTTAGATTTTGCTTCCTTCACTTGTTTTTCTGACAGGCTTTCACTCCTCCTGAGCCCTAGAGAAAGTTAAAAAAAAAAAAAAAAGAAAGAAATTATATTGAGCTGATGAGTTCAAGGAAGACGCCATAGCAGCTCAGAAATGAACTCTCCTGGGGGAAAACAAATATGTAAAAAATTACAATTGGGTACTGAAGTTTGAAGGAATCCAACTCATTTCTCTTTTTTATTTCTCTTAACACTTTTTCTTCTACAATAATATACTCTCTATATAACACTCAACAATGCCATATTCTATTTGTTTACATAAAAAACATTTTATATATGCTGATTAGAATATATGTTTCATACACTTGTTTCTCTAGAGATACTTCCACTTTAATACTAAAAGCTGGCTATTACACGCCAATTAATAGGACAAAATCAGAATTAAGAAGAACATGATCTAAAGACAATATTTTCTGAAAAACAAGATAAGATCTACCTTATACTTCTACATTTTAAAATGAAATGTCAGCATAAAACTGTTTCCAGGTATCTTAAAAAGGGACGAATGTCCCAAGAAGATGTTTTAAACTTTTCTTAAGTGTTTTAATGTAATGAATTTAGCTATTGAGGTTTTTTTCTTTCTCTCTTTTTTTTTTTTAACCTGACAACTGCCCCAAATCTTTTCATTTACAGCTATTAGATTAATGTAAGTACAAAACACTGAATTAATCATCGAGGGTACTTGAATCAATAATAGTTATAATTCAAAATATGGCATTATTGTAAATACATAAAGAAACTCTAGCTGCAAAGTTTTCTAGACAGATTTGTTTGTAAATGTATTGCTATTTTGGAAATGTAATGTTACTTTAACTGAAGCAAGAATAAGGGTAAATCTTGGAGAAATGTAAAAATTGACTTGTGATCCTTTTAACTGTGCAAAAACTGATGGAGAAATTAAGTCATTTAAAACAAGACTATTATGGTTATAAAATAAAAATATTTAAAATTTTCTTTATTACTATTATAAAAATAAATTGGTGACAGATTAATTTATAGCAAATAAACATATAGCATCTATAACTTATATAGTTAACTATATCATGTTTTCAATGATAATGAATATGAGTCCCCTAAATTTTTTAATTCCTTAAAATAGTTAAGTGGAAAATTAAGAAAAATGTTTTGACTATTTTGTGATTGAATATATTAGCTCTTTTTGTCACTGGAAACAAGTAAGACTTAATAGTTAGTTTTTTGGAAATAAAATATAATCCGAGGAAATAATTTATAATAAGATTACAGGCATTTCCTGGTGATCAAATTTTATAGAGAGAATATAGTTATAAGTGTGGTTATTAATAAATATAATTCATTTTTTTGACTAGTGTTATACAACTTATTAAATTGACAGTCACAGTTGCACAGTTGCTGCTAACTTCAGTGCCAACATGTAAAGTATGTGAATGGTGTCTCAATACTCTTGTTTAATATGCTATAAATGTGAAGATGGCCTACAGATGCTTAAAGTGTAAGGAATGATTAACAGCATTTGCCAATAAAGCTACAAATGGTTACGCTAAAAATATGCTCTGAAAGAAATAACAATAGGTTAGAAGACTTAATATCATACTTTGAATAACCGAATGCATTGCTGCTGTTTATCATTTATAGTCAAGTGCCTTTGCCTGTCAGCCTTTACATCCTCAAATCATATTCCAAAATTAGTTCTAAAAAATACATGAAAGAAAACAACAGAAATCATAACACCTAACTGTAATTCTTATCCCTGTTCTCCTTTCTGTCTTCACTTCCCTGGGTAAAACAAAATGCCATACGAAGCATTGAATTTAAATATCTTTTATGTTTGGGAACATTTAAATGCCTCCACATGGCGCTGGAGACTGACATCTGTGTCTAGAAGGTAGATGAAACACTTTGCAGTCTAATGAAGGCTTACAAAACGGAGAGGATCATGTAACTGCTCAGTATGCACATGTCCTTGTCTGTCAAACTCACTTCTGCAAGCATCATCAAGCTGCACAATGATTTTTTTCAAAACGAGGATCTGTTTTTGATATCAGTAGTAGAGCTTTTATTTTAAAGACACCTCTCAGTAGCAGACTCAACAGTTTTTGACATTTAAACTGAGTACACATGACTTCAAGTGCTTTCTTATGCTATTTTACCATGAAATATTTCAACTTTCTGAATCAAACTGAATAGGTTCATTGACAATATTATTTTCTTTAACAGTTCCTGTGCCTTTGGGAATAAAAGGAAATTCATGAAAAATGTTTCAATCTATATGAAGTTCAAACTTACTGTTTCCCATTTAGAAACTGGTATTCTCCACAATGTCACATTTGTGATTTTGTGCATTAATTAAATATTTATTTAAGCCAGTAGGAAACATAAGGAAAACCTTGCTGAAAAATTCATGCAAGCCAAGAAGTAGCAAAACGCCCTGAACTCCCAAGCCCCTTCTGACAGCCCAGGCAGGACTTACGTGCATGCCGCGCTCGGTGCTTGTGAGGTCTGCTGTGATCCTTTTCTGAGTGTGGATCTTCTCCCTGCTCTGTGCCTTCTGATGAGACGGCAAAGAATACCAGAGAAGGAGGTGCTTCTGACGGCCCTCCTTCCACTGGAGAATCCACACACCCCTTTCCTGCCTGAAGCCTGCACCCTTCTGTCTTCTGCCTGTCAGAGCAGTCGAGGATCACTTCCACCTGGGGCAGTCCTGCAGCCCCTGCTTCACTTTCCTGGATCACTCTCAACTCTCTGCCACTGGAGATCTGGATTATCTTGCTGGACCTCAGGAAAGGGTCTGCTTTCTCATTGGTAGGGATTGAGTTTATGTGAACAATTCTGTCTTGTGACAAGCTAGGGTCTGGGTCAGGAGACTCAGATTTTTCAGCTCCCGGGAGAGCCACTAAAGGGCCACTTGTGCCTTTATGTCTCTCCCGGGAAAGGGAGAGTTGCAGCTCAACCACAGGGCCGGGCTGTTCTACTTCTGCCTTCTCCCTTAAGATCAGCTCTTCTGCCATGCGCCCTCTTTGGGAGTCAGGCATTTGGGGAGCCCTTTGGTAGCTCAGGCCTGTTTCTTCCTTCAAATTCCCTGCAAAATCGAGACTACTTCTTTGGTCTTCAGCTAGGGGAACTTCACTCTTGACAGGGGCAAGGAAGAACTCTGTGCACTGGGTCTTTGTGGCTGGTCGAATCTGCAGGGTCGTACTTTCCACATACCCTCCACGTGTGAGATGCTCGTGGTTTTTGTTTTCATTTTCAGACATCAAAGCCTCACTTATTCCACTGGATGGTCTGCACACAGAAAAATCATTCCAGACACAAGTCAGACTGTGTTAAACCTGCCAAAGAACTTCCTGACACTTTTGTGATGTCTAATACATGATATAGTTAAAATATTTTCTTCTAAATGTCAGTTGCAACATATTTGAAAACAGAAGGTGGCAACATGTTCATATTGCAACTTAAAGAGATACCAAATAAACTTTGTTTAAAGTGCAACAAAACTCTTACACAAGATTGTGAAACCTGAATCCATCCTAAATTCAGCTTTTGTTTTTAAAAAGCACAGGTTGTAGCTACATGGATCCCGTAAGTACTTGGAATCTGGGTATCTCGTATAATGGGTCTGCTAGAATGTGACAAAGCATTTCAATGTCTTATTGACCAACTTTTGGTCTAGACATTATGAAGTCGCATAGTCACATGTCCAGCAGCTTTAGATCAATCTTAACTTACAGATAACTCAAGTAATCCTTTTAGAGGTTGTGCTTTCTTGAAAGGAATGAAATAGAAGCTGTTTTTTAAGCCCCAGTGAGTATGTGTTTTGTAATAAGTGGACCCAGCCCAGTACTCTTGTGTAAAGAGAAATCCTTTCCATGCTGCAATGAATCATTAAGTCATGGAGTATTTATAATCTGAGATGTCTCCCTTTCTTCTATTTGAACCTGTTTCTTGGAGCATTCTCTTTTTAGAATACCTGAAGCCAAACTGTTCCTTTATCTCTCGGCTAAGGAGCCTGGAGCTGTACACCACAGTTCTTTGATTTTGACCTTAACTCTTCTCAGTTGTTTGTGCAAATTTGGGTTTGTGAGAAGAAGCAATGTCAGTTTAGTAATTGGATAGCTTCTTTCTGAAACTCCAATTGTTTTTAGAAGTATTATTCACAGAACAGCTGTAGGAAATGTCTTCATTTTTGGATTTGTAAATTTTTTATTTTAGAAGCAGCATAATTATCTTTGCCCCTCTCCTCCTTCCTTTAAAGATCGTTATGACTAATGCAGGGAACATCAGCTGGAGTGTGTGAGCTTCTACTTGTATTCTTCTCAAAGGAATTTACCGTAGAATTTATGTGGTAGTGGAATTTCAGACCAATGCTCAAAATACTCCTAACTTTGCTTTCCACTGCATTTGGCAAAACAAAACTAAACATAACAAAAACAAACTAACTGTTAAACAAAACGCAGCTTTCTCTATATGCAAGTAATTGGAAAAGGTTCCTGGTAATACAGTATTTATACAACATTGTAATATAGTATTTAAAAAGCATGATGTTAGCAAATTAGATCATTATTATGTAGAAAATGTTACATATACTGTTAAACTGAATTTAAGGGTATCAAAAGGTCAGAGAGTTTTAATTTAGGAAGTCCCTGTGATGAAATTAGATTAAATCACTTTGAATTATGCCAGCAATCAATTGTGAAGCTGAGAAGAGGATAGCTTCAATTCATGCCAGCCTTGTACACTTGAATACAGACAAATGGCCAGATAAATATTAACATTTATCAGCAGCTGAAGTAAATGTATAGACATGAGTAAAAATCATAGAAGCATGAGAGAGTAAAGCTTTATGCCTTAAAACATTCATTTCCCTTCACTCTACATAGGTAGCCATCAAGTCCACAATTTATGTGTCAGAATCATAGAATTTTAAAAATCTTATCATTTTAACAAAATTTAAGGTAATAGATAGGGAATGTTAAAGGAGTTATTTTAAAATAGTCTCACCTAGCTATCTCTGGGCAATAGTTCAGGAAAAGTAAAAACACTTGTCTTCCACTGACAGATGACAGTGGTATGAGTGAGAGAAATATTTACTGCAGGAAACAATATTCAGATATTCCAAGTGGTGGTCATGGTGGTGATGATGATGATTGCTTTTGACTTGAATTTCAATTGGGATTCCATTTTGAATCCTACTAATTAATTATTTATTTGTAAATTTTTTATTTTATAAAATTTATGTATTTTATAAACTTATTACCTCTTCATAATATGAAGGAAGGACTCTAAGACCTTAAACACTGGGTTTGATGGGTAAATCTTTAGATAGAAGATTATAAGAATAATTCTGCATATCCTTTATTGTCTCAAGATTTTGGCCACAGTGAGTTCATTTTTATCCCAGAACAGAATCATGCTGAATGATCAGCAGAGAGGTAACTGGACATAGTGTTTCTGCAAAGTTGAAGAAAAACCTGGAGGGCTTTAAGGTTCATCTTGAGATATCCTCTGACATCTTCCTAAAATCTGCTCTCCAGGAAACCAGAGCTTTCCTTTCTGGATTCATTATAATGCAATACTAAGGGCTTCTGTTGCAAAATCAGTATGGACTGTACTGTGATTTGTACACCATAAAAATGTCAATGCTAAAGTTTTTTTGTTCTCATTGTTTTCTTTCTTTTTTTATGTTTAAAGGTTTCTTCTATATTGTTAAACAACTACATGGGGATGGTGGTATTTGAAGAGACTGAATTACCAATTGACTTGTGTTTGTAGTGCAAAAATCTTATTCTAATCATCTGCTTTTGTCCATCCCCAAATATTGGTTTTACTGGAGAAATCTGGCTACTTGTCAGTTTCTGTTGTTGTTTCCCTTTTCCGTCTCTTACGCATCCTCTTTTAATGAAAAATTGTATAGTTGAATGGTCTAATATTTAAACCTTTTTAATTCATCTGTGTATCCGGTAATTACAATTGAGTGATTCTGATCCATCACAAAATCATGACCTATCAAAGAAATATTAAGTTGTGCTCGATATATTGAGCTTTACAAGGAAAGAGCCTAAAATCCCTAAGACTTTCAACAAAGTGCCTGAAACAATGATTTTCAACTTAATTCTCAATTAACCAGAAAGTATGGTTGAATAGAATTGACATTTTAAAAACACAGTGGTGTTTCTGTTTAACTATACTAACCTTCTACAAAGCACCCCTAATTTCTCTACAAATGGCAAGTTACATATGTGGTAGAAGCTGTAATCATTCCCATGTAGCTTCAAGAGAAAATACATATTCCAGCAAATTGGTTGTACCTTTTGATGAGCATTTGGAGAGAGTCTGTTATGCTTTCCATGAGCTTGATGACTTCAGAGTAGGTGAGATCTGCACAAGGGTTGCCATTGATAGAAACCACTTCATCTCCCTCACAGAGCCCAGACCCTGAGGCTTTGCTCTGATTTCGAATCTGAGTAAAAAAAGGAGACATAGTAGAATGAAATAATCATATCTGTCAAGTGTAACACCAGCCCTGATTTTTAATTCACCTGTTAGCCTGTAAGAACATTTGAACACTTCTTATCACACTATGAACACAAACACAGACACACACTTTATCATGTACCATAATATTAACATTTAATGCATAGCATTGTAAGTAAACAGGAAAAAAGAAAGTAAATCAATGTAAAGAAACCAGAATAAAAGAAATAAAAAACAGAGAATGAGAAAAGATGTTAGAGTTTACATTGATTAGAAATTAAAAATAATTATTCAAGCCAGGCACAGTAGCTGATGCCTATAATCCCAGCACTTTGGGAGGCTGAGGCAGGCGGATCTCCTGAGCTCAGGAATTCAAGACGAACCTGGTCAATGTGGCAAGACCCTTTCTCTTAAAAAAAAAAAAAAAAAAAAAAAAATTAGCCCAGCATGGTGGTGCATGCCTGTGATCCTAGCCACACAGAAGGCTGAAGTGGGAGGACTGCTTGAGTCCAGGAGGCGAAGGTTGCATTGAGCCAAGATCACACCACTGCACTCCAGCCTGAAGGACACAATGAGACCCTGTCTCAAAACATCATGATTGGCCGGGCACGGTGACTCACGCCTGTAATCCCAGCACTTTGGGAGGCCAAGGCCAAGGCGGGCGGATTACGAGGTCAGATGTTTGAGACAAACCTGGGTAACATGGTGAAATCTCGTATCTACTAAAAATGCAAAAAAATTAGCCAGACATGGCGGTGCATGCTAATCCCAGCTACTCAGGAGGCTGAGGCAAGAGAATCACTTGAACCTGGAGGCGGAGGTTGCAGTGAGCTGAGATTGTGCCACTGCACTCCAGCCTGGGTAACAGAGTGAGACTCTGTCTCAATAAAACAATAAAAAAATTATTATGATGATTATTCCACATTGTAAGGTTTTACTCCAGTGAGAAGGTGACCTCTTGCATTAAAATAAATTTTAAAATCCTTCCCATGGCCAAGATGAATGAAACGCCATGACTATAAGAAAGAGGCATATGACAGTTGAGATCATATGCTTGTTTGAGGAGAGAGCTGTACAGCTGAATGGACTGAAAAAACCACCCCAGTATAGTGGGACACCAGAGAGCCTGGATATTAGGGAGTATGTCAAAGAGAGAAATGCTTCATTGAAATCACTACTCCACGCATGGTACTAAGCAAACTTTAGTAAAAAAGAAAGAAAAAAGAGATTATTTTGCAGAAAGTAAAAGCATCCCTGCCATAAGCACTGCATCATATTCTGGTGAAGAAAGATGTGGAACAACAACTGAATAAAAAGCTTCCAGGGAACTTCAGACCCTGGAAGAAGAGAAACCCAGAGGAGTAGAATAATGGCAGAGGGTTCCCATCAGCTCCTTAGTGAGGAATAACTAGGGATTGATATCCTGTATAATGATGATTATGGTAAAGTGTTTTGCTAGTTATTCTCTCTCTGCCCTTCCAAGTCCATTCTCTACCCTCTCCTGTGTTGCAGGGAAGACTGGCCTCTAGAGACCACATTGGCTGGGCTCCCTTGCACTCTGGCTCCTGGCTCCTGGCTCCTGGTTGGATTTGGTCAACAGGAAGCACCAGTAAGAGATCAAAGAGCAAGTGGAACAAAAGATTCGGTCTGTGCTCTCCCTGGTGGACGCGCTGGGCCATGGTTTGGCAGTGGCTCCGTTCTTCAGTCTAGCTCCCGTCAGCCTGCCCCCCATCATCGCCTTAACTCTCGTTAGGTTCCAACAACACACATTATCTTTTTGTACCTTTGGGCCTACAGGTGATAATGGTTTCTTGCTCTTAATCTCTGGGTTTCTGGGTGCTTCATTATTTGCTTGTTCCCTTAAAACTACTTTTATTCTCTGCATTACATTCTCTTGTATTCTTCTTTGAGCATGTCACCTATTTCCTGCTGGAGCCCTAAATGATGCTAATGTGCTTAGATTTCATTTTATGAGTTCAATAGTTTTCAATGAACCGTACATGACGACCCTATGGTCTCATATTTAAGAATGCTTCATGATGTTTTTTCTAGATTTTTTCCACCAAGCCTTATTCCTTTTTATTAAAATGAAGCTTCTGAGTCTAGAGAGGTGAAAATGAAGTAAGCAGCGCTTCTTGAAGGATGTTTTCATCGCTAGGCTTATTTCTGACTGGGCACAAAATGTATTTCAATTTATCTCTAAAAGTTGCCCACCAATTCCTGCTAAGGTCTTAAATTATAATTCATATATTAACTGATATGGGTTTAAAGTTTATATTTACAAGTACATTTTAAATGATGCTCTTGAAAGCAAAATATTACCTTTATGAGTCAAAGCAGTGGCATTGTTGAAATTTGAAGTGATTCAATTAGTTTTGTTCTGGCAGGATCTATCCTTCCATTGTCATAAACTATAATCTATAGAAAGCCTGCTCTGTTTCTGACAAATCAATATCATTACCTCTTGGGGAAGAATATATTAATTTATTGGAAAATATTAAATGAAATCAATATTTCAAGATTTTAAGGAAGTAACAAAAGTAATGAGAAAGAGAATTTTACCTAATTTTGAAAATATTCACTTAGCTATTAAATATATTTGTTTTGTTTTGTCTTGCATGAAATATTTAAAATAAAAGGTCACAAGAAATTTTTTAATAAGGAAAGGGTTAGAGGGTGTCAGGGTTAGAGGGTGTCAGGGTTAGAGTCATTCACATTTCAGTTATTGAAATTTATTTATAATAAAAATTATGTAGGTAACAAAGCATATTTTTGAGGCATAAAGTCGTTCATTCAATGGAGTCAGAGATACCAGGATTTGAACAGAAAATTCATACTTTGGAGGACCAAAGAGGTTTTATGTTGATAAAAACAGAGGTGTTGTTATACTCTGTACCGCGGCAAGGCCCAATCTTAGGCAAAGTTCTCTTTATCAACCATGAGTTGTCTGAATTTTAAACTGGGATTGCAGAAGAAGATGCAAAATGATTCTTTAAAAATAAATAATCTCCCAACTTAATAGAGCTGTCTGTTATCTAAGCGTGTGTTGCTTGATAGGAAAAGTGCAGTTCATCATCCTGCTTGTCAAGCTGGAGCTTTTAATGGTATCTAAATAAGCCAGTGCATCATGGTAAGAGTCATTAGCATTCCTTCAGAGAATACATTCTCAGATCAACATTTACAATCAACTGCTGAGATTGCGTTTCACTGGCCTTCATCGGAACAACAAGAAATCTGTTTCCCTCAAGAACCTTGTTAGGTATGATAGCTTTTCTTGTCACTTAAATTTTTCTGAAGGACTACGTTGTCTCCATTTTTTATAGAACTATTCAACCAAATAAAGATGGTATGACAACCAAATAAATAAAAATGGTATGACAGTCTCTCATAGTAGCATCAAGAAGGATAACCATGTATTAGTGTACCTAAGATCCTTACCTTCTATTGTGTGTAATTATACAATTTTATAATTTGTATAATTGTATATGTTTATGTGAGTAAAGATTCTAACACTTGGAAGTGTTCTTATTTATGAAAATGAAAGACACTGTGCATCACAAAACTAAGTTTAGACCACAATTTATTAGTACTGATGATACCAATTCTTTATCAGTGAACTTATCAACCAGTCTCCTTAAGCCGTTAGTCTTGGATTCATAAAATACATGTAGTAGTGGGAAAGAGTACCAACTCTGAAGGAACAAGATACAAGTTTCAATTGTGTTCCTCCAGTGCTTACTACCTGTCTGAACTTAGATGAGTTACGCTACCACCCTGAGCTTTAATTTTCTAAAATGTAAACGGTGCTAATGAATTTTATTGGTCTAGATGTTTAATCAGTATTAGAAATAACATGTGCAAAGTTCCATGATGTACCTACAGCTCAAAGAGGTGTTCAAGAAGGGACTGGTGAATTCAAATGTGTTGGCTTCCTACACACACATACAAACACATAAACATACATGAAGGAAACATGACAAGTGAAAAGAGAAGCTATAAAACATGTATGAAACATCTGCATTTATTTTCCAATTTTATCCAGATATTTGACATCATCTCTTCATAATATAATGTTCTATCTCACTCCATAATTACACATTTCATAACTGAAAGGTGGAACAAGACAAGCTTGTTTATCATATTTCCCAGCACAAGTAACAATACAAATGACTAAATATTAGTGGTTTGTTTTCCTTGAGCATTTACTATGCCATATCTTTTACATCCTTATATTATTTATCTCTACAAAATCTCTATTAGAAATACGTGTTCTCACTTGTACATGTAGAACTGGACTGCCATTACCTTCATTTTATAGGTAAGAAAATGCTGAATCAGAAAATGTACGTACTTCTTCTGATTCTAGCAAAGCTAGAACCAGAGCTTGAATCCAGGAAATGTGACCCCAGAGCTTGTGTTTTTACCCACCACACAAACTGCCTCTGTGAACTGCCTAAACGATAGTCTAAATTCTCTATCACGGAGCCCTAGAGTGAGGAGAGAGAAAGGAGAGGACAGTAGTGTAACAGTAATTGGCTGGCTGGGGAGTAAAGTTGGGGAGGAGATGGAAGGGACGGGGCAGAAGAAATAAAAGATTGCCTGGTTAATCCACAAACCAGTGGTTGGGAAAGACCTGTTTTATTTTGTTTCGTTTTCCTTCTTCTTCTATTATTTTAGAGTTATATGTAAAATGTTTTTAAAGATTAAAAAATAGATGATATTATGACTCAATGTGTTACAAATTCAAAATAGGGTATAATTATTTGTCATAAACTGTGATTTGACACAAAATAGCTGTGTGAGCACATGATGTAATTCCTTTCCTTTGAAAATACTCCTTTAGAGACTGCGTTCCACATATAATATGTTAGATCCTGAGTGAGTTCCTACCCTGAAAATATTGTATTCCTTTTTAGTGTCTCCCAATTTAATCAGATCACATAACTAAGAGATATTGCTAATGTCAATAGTTACCAAATGTAATTA